GATTTACATACGTATACATATATTTAAAACATCTGCTTTTGTCCGCGTCTGCTGCGATTTGATCGTGAAAGATGCGAATGGGTCGCGAGCAACACATCGCACATGCACAATTGCAGAAGGGGCGAAAAAGAGAACTTATGTGAGATGTGATGGAGACGGGAACAAAAGGAGAAGAAAAAAACTGAGACGCGTCTTGAATGGGCTGTACTAAGTTAAAACTAATAAAACACAAATTGACAATGTGACAAAATAGCGAAACGCGTGCCACATTGCGTGTTGTCGATGTTAATGAAGCGCACAACAAACGAATAAATAATAATTGATGCATTAAAGCATTGCATCAATGAAAAATGAAGCGCAACACAATATGCAGGAAGAAAAAGCATGCCAGAAGTGTCGTGTCAAAGAGTAATATTAAGTAGTCGGTTGTGAGGTGCTAAACAATTGCATTTATCAATGAACATTCACCAATTTTTTACGACACACATGATTGTGCATTGCAATCCAATTATTTGTTTGTTTGTTTTTCGTTTTCTTCATTTTTCTCTCACTCTCATCTGTATCGATGTTTTCCGCTGAAACGAATCCTTTTCGAACGGCCAATAAATTGCCAGTATTCCAATGAATATGTGAGCAGTGGTGTGTTTTTGTTGACGCACTCGATTTTGTCGCTCATGCTTTTGTTTACTTTTCAATTGCCATTTCATTTCCCAGAGAATTATTGAGATCGCAAAGTTCGTTTGAAAATTGCGCACATGCCTCCTGTCTATTTTGCTGCTGTACAGTACACAATATATCCACTATTTTGATGAGAGAGAGAGAGCGAGTTTTGTGTCTTGGGAGATGCTGCGCCATTGTTCAAATGCAATTACGTGTGTTTCGCGTGAACTTGTTTTGTGGCTGCAAAACGCAATAGAGAAATGAAAAATAAACTCTCGACACATACGCGCACCAATAAACAAATAAAAAAAACAATGAAATAAAAAAGAAGAAGAAGAAACTGCTGTTGCTGCGTCGCACAATGAAAGACATGTGCAAGTTGAAAAATCCACCTGCCTCTCTGTTATATAGAAATGGCCATTTGACTAACGCGCGCGAGCAATTGCTCTTTCACACTATGTGTGTTTGTGTTTTTTGTTCATTCATTCGTTTTTCACCCGAAATGACTAATCAAATTGTGACTAAACATCCGAATGCGAAATATTCAAGTAAAATTTAAACGGTATCACACGGTTTTTCAGTCATCGTCGCTGCTGCCGTCGCCGTCGTCGTCGCTTTGGCAATTTGATCTTTACTTTGGTCTGGTACGCACAAATGCAGGCGTATGGCTTGTAACTGCTTGAATCAAAACAATTCATGCTATTGCCACACATAAACTGCAACTGTGGACAAGAGCAAGCATTTCCTTTGGACGCGATGATAGGGTGGACCGGTGCAAATGATGTTGAATGAACACATTTCACGTTTTTCACGGATCATTTGAATCATCGCAGCAGCCTTCGAACGAAACCTCATCATCATCATTGTGAAATATATTGGAACGACAACTGTGCTGCCCGTTGGATAGGCGTTACGCAAATGAATCACTATTCCCAATTTTACGATTCCGCATCATACTTCCGCTTCAATTTCCTTTATTTTAAATTGAATTTGAAAACACGAATTTTTATGAAGAATCCACCGCAAATATAGAGATTATGTCATTTTTTGCGAGCACACCCAAGTCGAAGTAAAGTGCATTTAACAGCGAAATTATGTTCATTCAATAGCCATTTCGTAAGTGCATCAATTTTATGAATGATATCATTGCCAATTTGCAATGTCAAAAGAGACCGGTCATCCCTACGCGGTGCGTTCATTTCGATTGTGATTCATGTCGAGGCAAAACAATGAGCGCATCGTTTCTGAAATAGGAAACTAAATGGTACGAATTGAGAGTAAATGAAAACTATGAAGGGAGAAAATGTGCAGCAGCGGAGGACAGAGCAAGAGAGAGAGAGAGGGAGATCGGGCAGAATAATGCGAAGCGACTGGGTGATCAATTATTCAACACACAATTCTATTTTCGGAAGCTATTTGTGTAGAAAATCCGTACGAAAAACAACCATTCCGAAAGACAAACCACAACAAAATGCATAAACGCTCGATGCTGCCGCTGTTTCTGTTTTTGTTGCTGTTGATGCAAAGAAAATGCGTTCTGCGATCGTTGTACCATGCGCAGCATCGCCATCAAAACATCGAAAGGTATAATATGGTGTGCGTGATGTTAGCGACATGATATTTAATCGCCGCCGTCGTAGTCGTCGTCATCATCATCAATGTTCTCGATGCAAATGCCACCTCAACCAACCAGCACGGTGTGTGTATGCATGTTGGAAATCATGGGCTTGTTATTCTTTGTGTTACGCTTTTGAATTGTTTTTCTTTCATGAAAATAGCATTTTCAGTGTTTTGTTGAAGGGTGGTTATTTTTAAACAGACTGCGAATGCAATGTCGAAGCGGCTGCAAGCCAAATACCAAAACATAAATGCGCCTAATGAAGAAATGAAGAAAAACAGCATCAACAGCAACTACGACGACGACGACAAAGGAGCAGAGTTGTAACAACAAAGATCGTCGGATGCGTGTTCTGCGTACACAACCAAGGGAGAGAGAGAGATATATTTGAAAAACGTTAAATGGCGATGAAGATAGATGTGTCATTTTCGTGTGCTCACTGAACTCACTTGAGATTTGTCAAATGCAATGAAAAACACACCAACAACCGATTCGGTGTGTAATGGCATTTGCTAGAGAGTGACGTACATGGAATAATCTGTGTAGACACGAACAATTGAATAGAGAAAAATGTGGACGACGACGGTAGCAACAGCAACAGCACATCAGCCGACTGACAGGCGCGTAAGGCGACAATGTATCGAAACAAATAAGAAAAATTTATGTCGCCTAAGAGAAGACAACTGATGTGAAGCGCGGTCGTTAATTCAAGGGTACATGATGCGCCGCGGAAAATTAATGTTGATGCCGTTTGAATTGTGACTGATCCGAACCGAACTGAATGGATGGCGTTTGGATGCGCACATTCGTAGTTCATCCTATAAGTCATTCGGTGGAAATGCGATCAAACGATTGCTATTTAATTACTGCAAGATCGCATTTCCATCGCTTCGAGTAGAGAAAAACGAGAGCGAGAGAGAGAAAATACCTGATTCATGACTCACCACCGATGATGAGACAAATCGTATTTCTCCGAATTTAACATCACATCGAAACAGACAGAATTATTTGTAGCATAACTCATTCCGTGATCACGATGATCATTGGCAGTTGATTTGTTGGCATTTGTCGGAACCGTGAAACGGACATGACAACGGGAGAAAAAAATATATGAGAAGACAACTATGAGGATGATAAAAAAAAGTTGCCGGTTAAAAATCGTATGATTTATGACTGACGAGCGAGTAGCGATTTTTCCGAGAGAGCGACACACACACATACACACCCAATGCGTGCAGATGTGTAATAGAAAATCTCAATGTTCATTGACCTCACGTAAGAAGGCACACTAAAGACAACAACCGTGTGTTGTATGGACCATTTAAATATACAACACCAACAAACCAAATGACAATTTGTAGTAGTACATTAAAATTGAAAAACTATTTTTGTTTCTCTTAAGATTTCGGCGTAATTGCATTGCGCGCATAACGGCGTTCTCGCAGGCACGCTCCCCATATTTCCATCTCTTTCGCGTGGATATACCATCGTCTCATGTAATGTTCATCGACACGAGAGCATATGTTTTCATCTTCAACGCAATTAATTCTAGAAAAACGAAATAATAATAAAAAAAAGAAAAAGAAGAAGAAGAAGAGAGAATACAAATAAACACAGGCAGGAGCAAGCACACTCTCTTTCGCGCCGACTACGACTTATAATAAATTGCCAAGAAGCAATCGAACAGTCATCAGATACGATTCATAATGTTCGAAGAACATGAAGAGCAACAAACGCGGCATGCCGTTAAAAATAGACTCACGTAACAATATTAATAAAAGGTTTGGCGTGGTTTTTCTTTCTTTTTTTTCTCGTTCTTTGGTGCGTGTGTGTGCGTGTGCGCGCGCGTTCATTCGGTTTGTTCGTTCACGTTCATTCGCGGTTTGCTTCGCTTCGATTTCACTCTGTGAGGGAAAATGCCACAACTGAAACGCAGACACCTAACCGTACATCAAACAACAAAAAAAACAAATATTCACATATACTTGATAGGATATCGATAGAATGGCAAACAAGCATCTAAGGATAGTAGCATCGAGTCATCGGTTTTCGCGAGAAAAAAAAACATCATGTCTTGATCATCATCAGCACTTAGTCATGAGAAGAAAGTGACCGGAGAAAGAGATCACCCCAAAAAAAGCGGTTAATCATATGACAAGAGAATTATTCTGTTGAAAAAGTCGTTGAGCGAATGCCAATTTCCGAATGTATGAGTATTTTCCAGTGAATAGTGTCTTTGTTTGCCGTCACCAATTCTCCAATTAGAATATAACAATGCAACGATTATCAATGCCTATCGTGCGTTTGTTCCAAATCCAAGTGGCCATGCACTCATAGTGCACAAACTCACTAGGATTCAGTTGTTGTTGGCTTTTTTTTCGTCGTCGTCGCAGTCGTCTTTACATTTTAAACGGCACGTTTTTCATATGCGTTGCGACTAACGTAATATATCTCTTGCTCTCCATTAGTCTAACGCTCATTTGTTCTCCGATTTCCTTGTGTTGTACGTATACAAACGGTATCATACACCACCAGCCGACATGTGTGATTCCTTACGGCTGAAAAATGAAAAACTTCTCTCTCTCTCTCTCTCTCTCTCTCTCTCTTTCGATCGGGCCTTATAAAAACACATGTGTTTGTGCATTTGGCATTTTAGAGGATGGATGCGAAGAACAGTGAGAGTGAAAAATACACACCGATTCAGATGTAAAAGACGACGACGATGAAGACGGCGACGACGAAGATTTTCAACTACGCACGCGTGCCTTGCGCTTGCACAGCCATGGACTTTAAGTCAATATGCGCAAAGGATATATTTAAAAAATCAGTTCATAAGTAACCATTGTACGGTGAAAACGTAGTATCCACATCGTTCACAACCACAAAATAGAATTGATTCAATTTCAAGCGATTTGAAAATTGTTCGGTGACAAGTTTGAATAGAAAGAATAGCAAGCCGTTTCTATTTCGACTCTTTTCTGGTGTTGTATTTTAAATCAGTCAAAATAAATTGAATTGTTATTGAAAGTGCAACTAAATTTTTTCCGCAAATAATAATAGAAGAAGAAAAACGAAAGTTGAAACAAAAGTGATTTTCCGGAATTTGTTTGACATTTTCACAACGATCATTTCAGATACGCACACCGATAATTAGTATTATCATTGGTCCATTGTGCTTCGGATATTGTGCGTGTGTGTGTGCGCAGTTTGTGTTTGCTCTATAGATACAAATTCGTCATTGAAAATACCGCTTAAACTTGATACGCAAATTACATGAATCGAATTCTCTCGCTCTTCACACCGAGAACGAAGCAAAATGAAAACAGAACGGAACGAAATCTGAACGGGAAAAATATATCGCACAGCGAGAGAGAAAAACGCGCAATTAAATTGCATTGAAAATAATATGTTTTGTATTCAGCTCGAATGTTTAATAAGTGAGGAGGCGATTTTTTTCAAATAACCGTAATAAACAATAAAAAAAATTATATATAACAGATTTACGTAGTGAGCGTGCGCTAACTGCATCGGAAACAGGCAAAACAACCGAAAAGAAAGAAATAAAATAAAAGAAACAGTGAAGAGAAGAAAAAAGAAAACGAAAAAAAAACTCACTTTTGAAGTGACGACGAATAAAGACAGGAAATTATTTATAGCGGTGAAGAGCAATTTTCCGTGAATTGTGGTGCAAACAACAACAACCCTGACCGTAGTGTTAACGACATCTTGCCAGTGGCTGTTCGTGTTGTTCCCATTTGATTCGGCACAAAAATTAAATCAGCGCTTGGACCAACGACCACCGCATCAAATTATAACACACCGTTTTGCTGAACTTTTGACAGGCGCCCAGGCATTTAAGGTGAATGATCTGCATTTTCTTTTATTCATTCTGTTGATAATATTTTTCTTTTCACTTTTATTTATTCAAACGCTATTTCTGATTAATTATATTTTAATTGGTTGGCTGTGGATTCGATGAAAGAACCCAAAGAACCCATGCAATCATCTCTTTTTTTAGTGATTCCGTCATTTCGCTTGAAATTTGAATCCGTATTCATGGCTCTCATTGAACTTTCTTTGTTTGTTCAGGTGTGAATGAACATTTGGCCAAACAAGGATTCGAAGAATGGCATTCAAACTAATCTCTTTTTCGATTCAAACCAATCGATTGGATTTCATTACAATGAACATTCGATTATTCAATTTTCCAAACATCTCTCCAGATTCGTTGTAATTTCGACAAAACTTTAGGTCGAAGTGAACATCTTCTAACTTGTTTTATGTATCCGGCGCTTTTATGATATTAAAACAGTTCGATTTCGTGCTTTATACAATTTCCCAACTGAATTTCTCGTTATCTTTTTTTTTCGTCGTGCATTTCCTTTTTCAATCATAGCCCGCATGGATTCATGGATTTAAAGCAAAACTGGTTTTTCCCATCAAACATAAATCAATATGAATCCAGCATTAATTCTATGCAGCATACAGTTTTCACGATGGAATTAGTGTGGGCTTATGTGGATGCGATTCACTCTGAATCATTGTCTACAGAAACTGAAAAAAAAGTTGTTGAAAATGCATGCAATGCGTAAATCCAAAATGCAGCAGTCACGGATATGTTTTCCAGATAACTTGCGTGCACCATCGATATTCTCAGTCGCAGTAAGGTACGCACGTCCCTCATTTTGGACGGACCGAAACAAAAACTAAACCGTAAACGATCAACAGAAGAAAAAAAACATGTGGTTGGTTTTTTATGGTGCACATCTTTGACTTTTTTTTTCTCTGTTACTTCAACTCCTGTACCGTTGCTTGCTTCGTTGTATTTTTTTTTATTTTTTTCTGTATTTCTTTGATTCTTCGTCCTCTCCAGTTGCAATTACTGGCATAGCAACAGTTACATGAGCGACTAAACAATCTTTTGGCCTCATTAGAACGGATGTTCGTTTATTACTTCAATGAGTGCATATAAAGTGCAATGCATATGTTTATGTCATCGTTCCACGATATTTTCAACATTATTCTCATTTTAGTCCCGTTGTCGCGTACGCTACCATGCATCACGGATGGATTTAAATCTCTCAATGCTCAAATGACAGTGGTATTTCTACGCACTTTTTTTCCCGTCGAAAATCAAGCTCCTTCGCAGCGGCGAAATGCGAGCAAAAGAGAACGCAAGAAATCGAAAGATGATGAAATTGTCTGCGTATTTTCCATACGGTACACCGTTCTGGCGGATGTTGATCGCATCGAATCCTTTCACGTGTCACATTTTCCACTGTGTAAAATCACGTAGTATTTGCACATCACATGACAACAAATCAGCATCGCAAACGGTTTCAAAGCTACGCTCTTTACTTTGTTGTGTCTTGTTACAGCCACAGCTGCCGCTATCGCCACCGTTGATTCATTCGCACCGTATGTTTGGTGCTTCTTTGTGTGAAAACCCATGCCATTTCTCTATCATTTCATTGTCCGCTTGTCGTGTGTTTTGTATTTGGTTGCTGTTTGTTTTTTCGCATTCGCTTCTGGTATTCAAATTGATGTGTGATGTTGATTCGAAAGCGCGCGTGGCTTGTGTCATATCGGGTTGGCCAAACGTAAAAAAGCCGAAAACTCATGTTCATGCCGCGCTTGCTTGCTTGCACACACACACACACACACAAACACACATTATGATCATCGAACAAAATGAAAATTCAATCGAAAAATATTTGGGCGACGTGCCAAATGATTTGTTTAGAGCTCATTCGGTCCGATGACGTATGCAGCAGGTTGTTTCTTCTTCGATTCTCACTTAGCAAAAAGGAAAACGAGAAAGAAGAAAAAGAACACGAAAAAATAACAACCAAATGTTTTTTTTTTCTTTCCGTTTCGGCATTTTCACATGGCGAATCATATTTTCTTGACGATTCTTTCATTTGGTACATTCGATGCGCGTGTATCGGGTTATTTAAATGCCAAAACTTGTTAGCACACGTTTCGGTTTCATTTGAGCCACTTGAAAGCGCTCTCTCTGCGCGCCACGAGACAGAATGAGACAAACACATGCAAAACGTATAATTGAAATTAATTATCATAATAAATTGCATATTTTTTTCCCGCAAAAACTACAAGTAATATAATTTATTGTGCACATGCTGGCACTTTTTCCTCGTTCCGCTGGCATCATGATTTCCGGCATATTCCATCGACAATTGGCTGTAGTTTCTCGTCTATCTCTTGGTAATGGGAGAGATAGAGAATCTCAGTCAAACAAAGTAAAATTGTGTGAATATGGGGGAAAACACGCGCGCGAGGTGACGGAATTACGTGACGTTCTTTTCTTTCGATGTGTGTATCATTTTGAACATGCAAATAAATAAATCACCAACGGAGAAAATGTTCCGTATGCAACGATGCGACGATTTTCTATAGTTTTTCATTGTTTATTCACTTCAAACTAACGGCTACACATATACTTAATGGTCTAAATTTAGACCGGATATTAATCGGGTGAAACACGGTGAAGCTTGCTCGCGCGCGCAATACACACACACACACACACGCCGCACACTCAAATGCATCGCAATCAAATAGGCTTCAGGCCACTATTGGAATAGGTAATAAATTATCAGTTTCAGTATATATGCGGAGGTGTTAAAAAAATCAGTCGTGATGAGGAACAGCACTCCATTTCAAAACACACAATATTTCGAAAGAAAAACATAATTTTTCTTTTCGCTTTCTTATTCTTTTGGCTCTTTATTATTTTCTCGTGTTACTTCAATTTTCTTAACCGAAACATTTTCTCGCTTGTTTTCATTTCAGCATCGAGAGCCAAAACGAAAGAAGAAGAAAAAAACATTGAAAAATGATCCATGACGCAGCTAATCAGGCGGCATCGGTGCCAGAGGAGCTGTACAATTTGACGCAGTTGGCTGATGTAACTTTGGCGGCTGGCAAATTAAGCACAACCAACATTCAAACGATAAAGGATTACATCAGAAGCGAAGAGTCAATAGCACCTGCAACGCCGCACACAATCAATCGTCCATTGCAAATGACCGAATTGATTGTGATGAAACGAAGTAATTCGTCCGATGCTTCAGACACATCCAGCGATACAAATTCACCGCAAAAATTACTCAGCGACGCCGGATACATGTCCGACATGGAATATTTAGATAAGAAAACATTTTTATATGCATTACATTCGAATCACAGCCAATCAATGGACACGGACACATCAATTGCTGACTCGAGCACCGCATCAATTAAATCAGCATTTAGCGAGCAGCGTCAAAGTTCATTTTCATCATCCGAAGATGACTCAACATTCAACTATTCGCACAAAATATTCGACAAACGGAAGTCACGCAAACTCCATTATCAATCGCAGAGTTCGGAAAACATGTTGAAATCGGTCAATCCATTCAATTCAAATGCAATGGTCATCGAAACCGAAGACAGTATGCTTTCGATCAGCGAAACTGAGAGTAATGATGATGGTGATCGTCGACGAAAAATCAAATCGAGTTCAATTGTCGACGAAGTGAATGCGAGAGAGAAAATGAACGCTGACTTAGCATCCGAAACGGAATCAATGAACAGTAATTGTGGAACAGATGATGTTCACACGTGCCCGGAGTGTGGCAAAAAGTACTCAACATCATCGAATTTGGCCAGGCATCGTCAAACCCATCGTTCGTTACTCGATAAAAAAGCTCGCCGCTGCCCACACTGTGACAAAGGTAAGTTTTAAAAATAATCTCGCATTTACTCAGAATCTTGTGCCGTGAATTCAAGCTGATTGATTGATTTATGTATTTTTTTTAGTATATGTCTCAATACCAGCGTATAGCATGCATCTTAAGGTGAGTAGTAAGCGTTTGGATGCACTTTGAATACGAATGCAGGTCAAATTGAGTGGTATTTAATGAAATAAAATCCATTTCGATGTACACAGGTGCACAATCAAGGATGCGAGTGTCCACATTGTGGTAAGAGATTCTCTCGTCCGTGGCTGTTGCAGGGTCATATTCGCACACATACCGGTAAGTTAAGCCAAATTTATTGCCATCGCTCGTCGTGTTTATAAAGCCAATCAAAGTCAAACGTTTGCTTCCGTTGTTTGTTCTAGGTGAAAAACCGTTCCAGTGCTCAATTTGCACGAAATCATTTGCTGACAAATCAAATCTACGTGCTCACATACAGACTCATTCAAACACTAAGCCACACACTTGTGGCCGATGCGGTAAGGCATTCGCTTTGAAATCGTATCTCTACAAACACGAAGAGTCTTCGTGCATGCGAAACCATTCGAAATCCGACAAGGAGAAGAGCAAGCCGACGATGCGATCGAAAACATCGAAAAAACTAACAACATATGGAAATCATTCCGTTGTTCTCAAGAAGATTAAGGAGATGGCCACCACCAGTGACACACCAATAGAATGTGTGAATGCGAAATCGAATGCAACGTCGCAAGAGTGCATCTTTTTGGATGCCGGTTCCAAGAAAAGTTACATCGATCTAACCGAAGCAAAAGCAACCATCGAACCATATCCTCGAATCAGTGTCATACGCACAGTCGGATCACAGTCACCGTCCGCATTGAAATCCGATCAATTTGAATTTTATCAAGAAAAACCTGTTGATTTCTCACCGAAACACAAGTACAAATCGGAACTCACCAGCAACGAGAACAAAACCATCTCATTACCAAGTCAGTACACAACAATGGTTGTGTGATGAATTCTTTTGTAACTGGTAGTTGTTAAGTTGAATCAGATGCGTTTTTTTCTGACGTATGTACGATATGTACGGGCTATGGAAGAAGTGGAAAAAGGAACATTATCTTTCGTTGAGCATGAAATGGTTGACACTCACTATCGTTCATTGCTACAAAAAAATACACATGTTCGAGGGTCGAATTTGAAACCGTATGTTTCGTCTTCCGTTTTCCAGCTCGAATTTTTCTTTATCATTAAGACGATGACAATACTATCTGAAACGACGAGAGACTTTTTTTCGATTTGCGAATAAAGTGCATGGACCAATATAAATTTAAGCAATTTAGCTCGTAAGTTGTACATTGAACTTAAATCAACCCGCTGAAAACCAAAGTGCCATTAATTAGTTTAAGAAAAGCAACAATTGTTTTGTTTTGTGAGATCAAATAATTCGACACAATCAAAACTGCATGAAAAAAATATATAATGAAATGTGATATATGAACGATACTTTGTTTGTTTAAGTTGTAATTTGTAAGATTTTTCTTTTGGTTAGTTATATATCACATTCAAATCACACGCTTTTTGATGTCGCTTTTGGACATTCAGTATGAAAATATTCAAATCGATTTATCAAATTCGTCTAAATTAATTCTGTATCATGTTAAGATAAAAAAGCATTTAATGCTCTTCCTTCATCCTGAGGAATGACAATTGAGCAACGAATCATAAACAGATGACACTATAGATCAACGATGTGAAGGAATGTGTTAAGATTAATTCTTCTTTTTTTTAGTACGTAGAATGAAGAAAAAAACAATTCAAATCAAATGAGATATTCTAGTCTAACATTGTATTTATCAACATTTAAATCAAGCACGAAATGAGCAACAAATTCAAACAAGAAAAAAAAGTGTTAAGGAAATATATATTCTGATTTTAATATAAGACGTAGATACGTATACGCTAAATATGATTTAGTCGACAGAGGATACAGTGTGGCCGATGAGGTGCAATACAAATGCTAAGTTATTTATAAGCATTTGTTTTAGATTCATTCAAATGCATATTTTTTCTGGATACTTTAGCTAATAATTAGTCTAGTTATCTTTACTTGAAATATGTTCGCATTTCTAGCAGAAGACAAAACAAAATCAGAGAAAAAAAAATGGTTGAAAAATTTTTCTTATTTGAATAGCGATAGACGATCTAGGCCATTTTTATATCTATCATATTTGAAACAGAGTTATTAAGCCATAATCTAAAATCTCGGATAATTGTGTGAGAATTCAATTGAAAAAGAGAGAGAAAAAAGTTATATATGGCCTAAAGTATTTGGAAAGAGGAGAAACATCATTTCCTAGGTATTAGTTTGATGCAAATTATCTCACAGTTTTTTTTTTCTTGTCTTTCTAGTTTTTTTTTTGTCGTTATAAGATTTCTTTTTAGTATGTAAATTGGATTGAAGTGTGCAACATGTATCGAAACACAAAATTGAGCCTGGATTATGAGCTTTGATTCTGCTTGGCAATGAGGCCAAAGTTTGATAGTTTTTAGTTGTTTTTTCAAAAAAAAAAATAGCTTTAGGAGGTCTTTTTTACAGATAAATTTTAGAAGGAAACATTACAATGTATGTATTTACTCTCAATTTTGTAGTCAACTTTTTTTTTACGATGAATAAAGAAACGAAAGAAGACAAAGCCAAAAACAATGTAGTATGGCATTTCCGATTCATTACAACTCCTTTTTCACAAGGAATATTTTTCATCTTTGAATATTCGACGTAGAAGAAAAAAACCTAAATTCCGCACGAAGAAAAGGCCGCAATTATCCAGCAAACCGTGAGTATACACACATTGTGTTTGCCTATCGAAAACTTTAAATTTCAAGTTTTCACATGTCTACTACATGTACTGAAATGAAGCCAAACCGAAGAAAACAATCTCAACTGAATGTATCAATCGTTTAATGGCATATTGCGATGCCAAACATTGTATCACAAAACAATTTGTGCAATTGCATAAATTGTAGCAGATAATTTGATCAAAATGTATTGCATGGCCATGATGAAATGGGATCTTTTCTGTGGGGGCCATCAATTAAATCGACCAGAGATCACTTGATTAGTCGATTATAAGGCATGAAAGTTCAAAATTCACAGCGCCGTTCGTGTATCATATGCTCAAACGAATACCCATGATGAAAGTATTAAAAGCCACGAAATAAATGTCAAACGCCGTTTTATATATTATGCAATTGTCCCATCGCGTCTCGCGATACATGTTGTGGCCAATAACCACAATCAAACAGTTCAAAATGTTTTTGAACATGCTCTTTTATTAATCAACGATATTAATGTGAAGGAACACTCGAGAATGTGATGTTTTTTTTCTTCTTTCGTTTATGTATGCTGGATGATGTGACGATGCTTTCTCTCTCGCTCTCGACTTAGCTCAGCCCATCCAATGTATAAACTGCAGTTTATCATATGCGGAGTGAATTTATATGAAAAATTGACAGAAAAAAAACCAAACGCTGAGATGAACAGCAAAGTAATTGAGGCTAATTGAAACTAATTAATGTCAACAAAAATTTGGACAAAAAACTACTCATCTCAAGTGCGTTCAGTGCGCGCATATCAGTTTAGGACAAAGACTTTGGTTATTGAAAATTAATGCTTGAAGCAAACAGTACCATCTCTGTCTCTTGCGCGGGTGCGCGGGTGTGCGCGCGCCTCATCTATATCATTATTGATAGTGTGTGTTGGATTCAAATGGTTGATATGGGCTGAGACACGAAGTGTGCGTCAAATGCTCTTGGTTTTCAATGTTTCTAGGGTCAATAATTTGAAATCAGTACGAAATGAGCTGCGAGGCACTCACTCTCAATTTAAAGAAATAATCCAATAAAATTCATTTAATTGACAAAGTGTAGCGCGTAGACATTTTATGTTGTGCTGGCTTTCCGATGAATTGAATACTCAAAATATGATATAGATTCGATTCAGATGGAAGTGTCAATGAATTGTTCATTTTTTTCCCCCTTGAGTGTGAAGATGGCACAGTTAGGTTTCGATTGAATCAACCCCTTTATATTTTTTTTTTCTTTTTGTTCAAAATCAATTAATAGTCTATTAATTTTGTCAATCTTTTGAATTGTATGTCGATGTGTTCAAATGAATTTAGGCCAATATTTATTAGTCGTTTGATGTCAAATATGAAATATGCTTTGTATCGATATATTCTATACTGCTCACATCCATATATCGGTTAATAAAATAACGGTTGGAATGATGCTGTTTCAGTGGGTAAATTACTTGAAAAATGAATCGATATCTTTGCATCCGGTTGTTTGAGCACCGTCAAAAATGATGCATCGATACAAAAGACTTGACACTGATTATTCCGTTGCGTCTTTCATTTTGTCGTGTTTTGTTATGTCATGCTTTGTTTTTGCATCGTTTCACTGCTGCCTCATTCATTCTTCTATGCTCCAATGAGATTATTCTTAATGATAACATTGCTGCAGCAGTTTTTCTTCTTCTTCTTCTTTGCAATCATTTTAGTCGAGCTATTTTATTGTTTTCATTTTTGTTGGAATGTGTATTCCATTCAAGTCTGTCTGTCTCTCTCTCTCTCTTCTTCAATTTCATTGCGCGCGTAAGCGTTCTCACTCTCTTAGCTCAAAATCAAAATGATTAATTCTGAATATTCGCCAGTATCAGCTATAAATTGCAAACACATTCGCAAAAATACTGTATACAATTTAATCGAAACCATGTCAATAGCGATAGTTTGTGTCTCTTTTTCACTCACAATGGACTTTTTTCTCGCTGCACATCGATTCGCTGTTCAATTATTTTGTGTGGTAATTAGTTGCAATGAGATTTCTCGCTCTGGCTCTTGTATTTTCGCCATTTGAATAGATCAAAAAACACAAATTTTCGTTTGTCTTAAAATTGCCAGTGGTTTGTCGGGGCGTAAATATTGTTGTGTTGCCGCGCTCATGCGCTCGCTCGCTCATTTGATCACACAAATGTGCGTCCGTATGTGGCCCAAGTGAGAAAATTGTTTTGCAACTGTTAATGGTTCAGTTGATGGACAATCGTTAGTAGCTAATTAAAAATGTTCCATTCAAATGCATTAAATCGACAGAAACTGGCTGATATCTGATATAGAAGGCAGCGACCAGTTCACAATTGATATATTGCTCGTTCGAATTCTTTGGAACTAAACGTGAAAATAAACACACACTAAATTGAACGGCCGAACGGTTCCTTTCGGTTTGAAACATCAAAGTCGATTTGAATTGAGATGAAACGGCCGTCGATATATTTTCGGAGTTTATTTGAAATTCCAAAGGATTTTCGAAATGTTCGCTTTTTTTTATTGTTTTTCACATTTCAAAACAACAACAACAAAAAAATCCAATCATCCCATTTCCAGTGTGAATTCACGAGCAATTCCTCTCGATCACAATGGAAGAAAATAAAATTGATATGATGAGAGATGATTTAATTCCCACATACGGACCAAATGTAAAATGATTTCGTATAAAAAGTGTTCAATGATAATGCGTGATGATGTGTGAAGTGCGACTGTTATACATCCATTTTCAACACACACCGACTTCAGCCACACAATGTTAATCGAGTGTACAAGAGCAGCAGCAGCAGCAGCAGCAGCATCACTTCGACAGACTCATAGAAGTATCATCGTCGAGTCAAAGCATTGCTGTTTTGAAATGGGTCAAATGTCGAACGCTTCGTTTTTTCGTTAATAAAATTTTGTTTATGCTATGTAGTTGCCGTTTTATGAGGCGCGGGTCGTTGCTGTTGCTGCTGCTGGTTTTTCTTTCATTCCCTACCACATATATTGCTATTCTGTTGTTGCTATTTTGTCGTTGGTGTGAACGGTCTGTTCTCATCCAAAAGAATATTCTATGTTATTCCGTCGATCGAACAATCATTTGATCGTGAACACTCCACATGAACGGTTGTCGCCGTTCGTCGTTAGGCGCGATTCAATCAGATATTCATATTGAAAGTGCGTGTTCGTTGTTACGCGAATAAAAGGGCGAAATATATACATATTGGAAAGAAGGAGAGAAAAACAGAAATCAAACGCTAATCAATACTTGATGCAGGCGTGAATAAAAGGAAAGAAAAAAGAACAATACAAAGTGTTTATTTTTCAATTGAAAGTGTTAAAAATTGAATTAATTCGATAAGATATTTGTCGTGTGATTAATCATTTGCAAGCGTTGCATTTAAAATATTGGTAAGAATGAGATCTCATCGTAGATGTTGTTGATTTTTTTTTTGTTTTCATGTGCGAATCTTGCACGTTTGTGGTCTGGTGGAACCTAATTGATCAAATGGAATTATGTAGAACATTGGCAAAACGATATTGTGTGGATGTTAAATTTCAACTATTTTCACAATGTCAATAAATTTTCATGCAAACGAAGCGAATTAGGTCAAATTTTGTGCGAATTAATAATATTTCAATCATCTGGTCATGTTGAATTTTTGCCGAGCAAAATTTCGGCTCCAATAAAAACAAGAAAAAAAAGTGATAACAATATCTTTAATCGCATAACCTTAAAGCCTTTTCAAAGGAATGTGGCGGTTATGACTACATTTTTTTTGGCAATATTCGAATTTCAAATGGAATGAATGAATGGTGAAGTTCGTTTGCGTGTTTTATTTTATGATGGTTTCAAGGAAGTGCTATTCAAAAATAGATTCTAGTTTCTAATCGGTCGTATGTAGAAAGACGTTCATCGGTTTCGACCATGTAAACTAATCAAAAAAATTTCGAGCGACCGAGTGGAAGTGAAAACGACATTTCCAAAAGAAAAAAAATGGCATAGTCACACACAGAACATAGTGACAGAAATATACATGATGTATTTCCATTTTTTTTGTTCGTCGTATTTGAATGAAATCACTTTACAGCGATTTTTACGAAACTCCATTCAATCAAGAGTGATAACAACAGACAGCGGCTCATTTAAAATCATTCAAACGACTTTTTGTGCGCGTGTGTGTGTGTGATCATTAAATATGTTATATACGTTTAAGATGAGAATTTCATTATAAAATTGATGTTGTCATTGCTATAAAAGTTCAACCTTGTTTTTTTTTGGTTTTTCGATCATGTTTTAAAACGTTGCTTTTCCGGTGCAAAATTCTCAATTTTCGTTCCATCGTTTGGTCCATTTTTATTCAGCGTGTATTTGATGTTTGATAATGGTTGTTTTTATTTCATCGTTTTCTTCTTGCAGGCAGAATGAAACCCATTTTATGGGTTCTATCTATATTGTGTATAGCCCTTTTAGCCGATTTGGCTCTAAGTGCACCACAGGTATGACCATTTATAGAAATATTCTTGCACTTTTTCAAATTTAACTCAACAATTTGAATGAAAAGTGAATAGTTTTCCATTTTCTTTTCTATTTTTTCTGATTTGTCTGTTTATTTTGATGGTTTCGTACGGAATTTTTTCTCAAAAAAATCATCGATTATTTTTAGGGATCAAATGATGATTCCGAACAAGCATCTCAACGTATTAAACGAGCTAGGTAAATAAGACTTGTGAATCCGATTCCTTGCCACTATGTGCAATTTATCTCATGTGAATTCCCTCATTTTTTTCGTTTCAACAGCCGAACCGGGCAAACTCAATCACAGTACCTGAATTTTGGTGATTCACAAACGGAAGGTAAAGCTGATGCTGAAATTACAAGATACGGTTCGCGAGCGTCTGTGTGTGAGTAAATTGTGTTCATTTTTTTGTTGCAGTGATAAAACGTACAATCTTTAAATATGTTTGCTTTGATTCAGCTGGCTCAAATGGGATGGGACAAGCGCAAAGTCAATCGTCTGGTAGTGGATGCGAAGGATGTTACGGCAGTGAAGGTGGATACTCGCACGGTAAGTAACAAGCAATTGCAAACATTTCCTGGCAAAACAAATCAACGACATTATTTTGACAATGCTATTGTCTATTTAAAGGTGGTGCTGGCGGTGTGGGCGGTGGCCCTGGTCCAGATCCGTTGAGAAGCGCGAGTGGTTCATCACATGGATTGCCAATACAAAGTCAAACATCATCCGGTGTACAACAACCCGGAAGTGCCACCGGTTATGATATTTATGGAAGACCAATTGTTGGAGGATCAGCTCTGGGCCCAAGCGGATATGATAGTCGAGGTACAATTTATCATATACTAAGAAAATAATACAACAAAAATGACCAAATTATGATTTCAAAAAAAGGTTTCGGCCCTGCAAGCAGTCGTTCGCCATCTGACAGAATAAAAGATGCATACAACCATGTTTTTCCATCGGGATTAGATGCACAACAGCCCGGAGCTTTTGGAAACAATGGTTTTTCCAGTCCAACCGCTAGCGATCAAACAGGTGTACATGGTCACAATGGAAAAACTCCATCAAACCTGGGTAGCACATCATTCTTGAATAGGCCAATCACCAATGGTAGGCCATCAGGTTGGCAAATTGATACTACGGGCGGCAGCCCATCGATTTTGATGGGAAGAAAGACAGGCTCAAACGTTCCAGATGCTGGAACAAGTGGAGGTGGTCAACCAGGTGCACCAACAGGATTTGGCTCATCACACGATGGCACATCGACAACAAATGGCCGTTCACCTTCAAACAGAGCTCCTGGATCCAACTTGCCAAGCTATAGCCAAATAAACGGCGGTGGTGCTGGTGGTTCACCAGATACTTCATCTTCAGGTAGAACACAGCCAATTCGTAGTGGCGCTTACGATACACCTTCAAGATCGCCTACTACTGGTACTGGTTTGCAGCCCATTGATCAATCACGAAAACAACCGGCCGACGCATATGGTAAAACACATAGACCGGGATATACAAACGGTGAAAATGGATCCAGCGGCCCTTCAGGCGCACCGTCAGCCACAGATGCTCTTGATGGTCTAAGAAATGTATTCAAATTACCACCCGGCTTATGTTTAGTCAGATGTGACACATTGCGACCGGGACAAAGCTTGACGGCAGACCAAATGAGAGATGCGATTGAATCGAGTGGTCAGCCATCAAAATATATACAACCACAAATAGGAACGCCATCAAGTCAATTCCCACAAAGCGTTCCAACAAGCCAATTGCCACAAGGCGGTTATGCTCAATACCCAACAACTTCAGGATCTCAAATTCCATCAGGCTCACAAGTTATTTCACCAGGTAATATTCACTTCCAATGGACTTTCTGTAACAATTTCATTCCGAATCATTATTTTATCACGATGAAAATACTTTCCGCAGGACAAACTCAACCGGGTCCTTTGCCATACGAACAAGGTGCAGGTAATGCAATGACAATATATGTCAAATTTTTTAAAACGCAAATTGAGCCAATTTCTTTAAAGTGTTTATAATAAATCATCTCGTTTGTTACAGGTCAAACTCCAACTGGTGCTGGTTCATTGGGTCCCTCATACATTACAAGTAAAAAAGTTATTTTCAATGAAAAAGATTTTTTCATAGAAAATATGAAGCAACACAGGATATTTATTAATTGCGTATTTAATCAATTAGGTCAACCACAACCAGGAGCTTATCCACAGGGTGCTCCAAGTTCATTTCCAGCAGGTAGAAACTGAAAAAAAGACAAACGAACAAATAATAAATTTGCTATACTTACACTAAATGTGACTGTTTTAGGACAAATTCCTACTCAAGCAGGAACACCCAGCGTTCAATACCCATCCACTTATCAACCGACTCGAGGTTTTGGCGGACAACAATTCCCATCTCCATTGACTCCAACAGGTGTCTACCAACAGGCTGGAATAAATCAACCAACAGGAGGAGCAGCTACTGGAACTGGTGGTGCTCCAAGTTCATTTCCAGCAGGTAGAAATCAAACTTTTCCTACCTACGGCTGCTAGTGTTAAACGTAAATGCACTTAAATGCTGCATAATATTAAACGCACCCATTAATTTTTCATTGTTCCCCTATTAAGAATGGATGCGTTTAGTATTATGTGACTTGACACCAGCAGGACACTAGCAGCCGTAGTTTCCTACTAATAAAAAACATTTTTTTCTAACTAACTTAGAAATATTGGTAGTGAAAACAAATGAAAAATTGCGATACTTACACTGAATGTGGTTATTTTAGGACAAATTTCCACTCAAGCAGGATCACAAGCGGGCCAATATCCACAAGGAGGCGTTCCATCAGGTCAATTGCCACAGGGCGGTGTTTCATCTGCTCCATATCAACCCACTTACCAACCGATTCAAAGTGGTGGTGCACAACAATACCCATCTCCATTGGCTCCCACAGGTGTCTACCAACAGCCTGGAATCACTCAACCAACCGGAGGAGCACCTATTGGAACCGGTGTTGGCACAGCTCAATACCCAACCGGATATGTTCCAAGTACGTAAAAATGATCACTCATACTCATACTCATCAACTATGAAATATGATTTTTTTTTAAATGGCATGATTTTATTGAAATGTCAGGCCCATCACAAACAGTCTATCCACAAGGCGGTGTTCCATCAAGTCAATTGCCACAAGGAGGTATTCCATCTGTTCAATATCCTCAAGGAGGTGTTCCGACAAGTCAATTACCACAAACCGTAATTCCATCGGGTCAGTATCCGCAAGGTGGACTGCCTGCAGGTGTTTATCCACAGGCTGGTGGTTTACCTACTTCACCAGGTATGTAATAAATACTAAATGGATTCGATATTGGTATATAAGACTAGTGATCACAATTATTCGAAATAGGCACAATATCAGCTGGTGCTGGTGCTGCTAGTCAAAGTGGTGCATTCGTTAGTGGTCCATTGCCTCAAACAACAGGCGGGCAATATCCATCAGGAACTCCAAGTAAGTCTATTATCAATTTCTTTATTTCAATATTTCAACAACTTAAAGATTGTTGAAAATAAAAAAAAACTAATAATTTTTGAATTTCTATATTTCTATAGTTCAACAACAGCCAACACATACACAGGGTGGAGCTGGTCAATTCCCACAAGGCGGCACAGCACAAATTCCGGCACACACTCAAGGTATTTGCAATTTGATGGAATTATATGAATATTTAATCAAAATGAAGATGACTCCAAATATTGAATATGAATTAATTTACGTGAAAATTATCTTTTGCAGGAACATTGCCAGGAACATTGCCACAAGGTACTTGATTGATTGAGTCAATAAATTTTGCATTTAAAAAGAATTCAATTATCATTATGATTATCTACTTGTTTTAGGTCAATTGCCAGGAGGCTATGCTCAATATCCAACAACTTCTGGATCTCAAATTCCATCAGGCTCACAAGTTATTTCACCAGGTAATTTTTACGTTCTTTAAAAGTATTCTTCTAAGTTAAAAGTTCTTTTAGCTTTAGAAGTATTTTCATTCCGATTTCAATCATTAATTCTCTAATATACTTTTTGCAGGACAAACTCAACCGGGTTTCTTGCCATACCAACAAGGTACAGGTAATATAATGACAATATATGTTGAATTTTTCGAAACACAAATTGAGCTTTTTTGAAAGTATTTATGATAAATCATTTATGATTGTTACAGGTCAAACTCCAACTGGTGCTGGTTCATTAGGTCCTTCTTACATTCCAAGTAAGATTTTTTTTTTAATGCAGAAGAAAAAAATATAGAAAGCCACACATGATATTTTAATTTTTTATTTAATCATTTAGCTCAATCACAACCAGGAGCTTATCCACAAGGTGGTGGTGCTCCAACTTCATTGCCATCAGGTAAAAATCAAACTTTTCTTATTAATAAAAAAAAAACACTTTGTCTTAAAATTAATGGTAGTGGAAAGAAACAAAAAATTGCGATACTTACACTGAATGTGATCATTCTAGGGCAAATTTCCACTCAAGCAGGATCACAAACCGGTCAATATCCACAAGGAGGCATTCCAACAAGTCAATTTCCACAAGGCGGCGTTCCATCTGGTCAATACCAACCCACTTATCAACCGATTCAAAGTGGTGGAGGACAACAATATCCATCTTCATTGACTCCAACAGGTGTCTACCAACAGCCTGGAATCACTCAAACAACTGGAGGAGCAGGTACTGGCACTGGTGGTGCTGGTAGTGGCACAATTGCATCCGGCGGATACACGCAATCAGGTGGTCAAGCTCAATACCCAATCGGATATGTTCCAAGTACGTAAAAAAGAATATGATTTTAACTATAGTTCAACTAAGAAATATGCATTTCTAATGAATTTTGCAATTTTATTGAAATTTTAGGTCCAAATCAAGCAGTCTATCCACAAGGAACTGGCGGACAATCTCAAGGAATTGGTCAAGGTAACAATATTTCTCCGCACACTTATGCCAAATTCAAATGAATGCATGAACATTTTCCCGCTTCTAGGTCAATTATCACAACCAACAACAGGTGGTGCCGGTTATTTACCACAACAATATCCAACACCATCGACTGGCGGCTATGGCGGAGTGCCAACATACCAAACACCAGGATACACTGGACAAGTTGGATATCGAACTGGTTATCCAGGGTAAATGAATCTTTTAATTCAATGCCAACTGAAATCGATTTGGGAGACAAACGTTTTACATTCGCTTCTCCATTCACCATAGTGCTATTGATAGCACAGCAGCCCAAACCGGACAAGGTGTGCCAGCGAATTATGTTTCAGGTGGCACAACTTCAGGATTGGGTACGGGATTGGGAGATAGTGAAACTAGCAGCGGCGGTGCATCAGGCGGAGAAGAAGATGGATTCTCACAAGCCGAATCATCGATTAAAAACGGTGAAATAGTCTCTAGTGCTCAAGGAACAAAGAACGGTGGCACGGCACAAACAAATGTTCAAGGTACTTACAGTGGAAGTGGTTCATTCTCTGCATCAGCTCAAACAGCCGACAAGGATCGTTCAGCTCAAGCTCAAGTAAGCAAAGCATATATTCAATAATTGCGTGGTCATGAGCAATGAACAACACATTTGTCCCATTTCAAAAGGTATCTGGTAACAAAGACGGAGCATTGAGTTCGTCACAAGGTTCGGGTGGAAAGTCACAAGCTCAAGCACAAGTTCAGGTAGATGAAAAAACCGGAGGCACATCAGCCAGTGGTCAAACATCGGGTTTGCAACATTCAAGTCAATCAGAAGTGACGGCCAATGAGAAAGGCGGTTTAGCCGACGCACAAAGCAGTGGTCCAGGTAAAATGCATCGCACATTGTGGTTATTGCATAATTTTTGCCACTGTCGTTCTGTGAAACGGTGTCATTGTCACTAAAACTAAACGCGATGCTCGAATTTGAACAGGTCAAACATCCTCACAAGCGCAAATCGGTTTCAAACCAGAAAGTGCTAGCAATAGTCAAGGATCAAACATTTTCAACGGTGGTGGTCAAGCTTCAGCACAATCCGGAGTACATTCGGGACAGAGCCAGTCACAAATTCAAGGAAACTTCAAGTATGGTCACATTTTGAAGAGATCCACGAACTTCAACTTACCTTCATTGATGAAATGAGAAAAAAAAATTGTTTACTTTCAGATATGGAATTTCATACCATGGTGCAGCTCAAGCAGCTTCCGGTACCAAGGAGCAAGTCACATCGTATCGTGAAAAGAGCAAAAAACTCTTCCAATCGATTGGTCAATTCAGTAGATCTAATCGTGATGCGGTTACAAGTGTACCCGTTTCTGATATTGCCAACATAAATGACATTGGATCGAAGCCAAAGCAAACATGTAAGGCGCACATTGTGCGATTCAAAATCTAAACTTGCATTTTCATTTAATTGATTAAAATTTGGTTTTGACAGCATTTGCCCCGGAACCAACACCTGATACTGAATCAGAGCTAGAGGATGAAGATTACAATGCCGATGAAGGAGGAGACGAATATGATGGTGATTATGAAAATGGCGAAAAGAAAAACGAAACGAATAAGCAAAACACCAAATCAAGTCGCATGCAAGTTGAATTGCCACAACGAACCGTATTGGATGCAACGTCAGGTAAATCAAAGGAAACCGTTAGTACAACCGAAGCAACACCAAAATCAAAAACCACCAAACTTGTTCGCATGCCAGCCGTTCGCAGTGAAATTGTTCCGGATGGATTTAAAGGAAAAATTGAAGAAAAACGACAAAAACACAATCTCACATCGAAAAATCAACTGGGCAACGAGGAAACCAAGGTTGACGTCAAACCAGACATTTATGTAACCGTTACGAAGTCCGTTAGCGGTAGTTTAGATAATGCAAAAGCAACACCAACCGATGATAAGAAATTCGAATCAACTTACTATACAAAGAGTTCGACTTGTGGCTACTTCACGTTTTCATGTAACATTGTTTATGGTTCGAATGGCCGCAGCAAAATCTGTCGACCAAAGCAACCAACTAACGGAAAATGCTAAACAACAAAAACAACCAAACCCATACAATTCACCTTGTATCATTTGAAATTAAGGAGAGCATTTTTTTTTCTAAATAACAACATTTTTTTTAAACGAACTAATAGTATTTATGCTTGAATTGTTCCATAAACGAGAGAGAAGATTATCGAATTCCTTGAACTGCTAACATTGAAAATGATTTACTTAAAATGAAGATGAAGAAAAAGAAACTCGAAATTAACTTTGATTGTATGTACTTATTTTGGCCCCAATCTATGATTTACCAGTCACATACAGCACAGTCATGCACCCACACACACACACACACACAAGCACCACATGATTTATGATAATGAAGTACGTACCATGTTCATCGACAAAACTGCCAAAATTTAATCTCTATTTGTTCGAAGCGTAACTAATTTAATTAGAGATGATCAATCTTTAATTGGAAACAGTTAGCCAAATGCATTATAGAAAAGTAAACCAAACAACAAAACAAATATGTAATGATAAGCTCACAGAAACGCAAGCATTTTTAAGAACGTTGTAACAGATGTAAAATTTCATTTACAAATATAAAACATACCAAATTCATGGTATCAAATTTCGGTGTTTATACGTCATTTTTGCACAACTTTTTTCTTCGGTTTCGCTGAAATTTGGTAGCACGTGTGAAGAATAGTTTGCGATATCAACTAGAGTCTAAAGCAAAAAATTTTCGACGGTATTCACAAAGCACATAACACTTGAAGGTAATAAGGCTCAAATTTGGGGAATTGAAGTAAAATTGTTGGGGAAAAGCTGCACTTGGTAAGTAATACGATATTTATTCTAATGAATGTGGTATGTTTATAAGAGTGTTTGTTTTTCAAAAATGCCGATTCATTCGATATTCTGAAGCGATATGTTTGTTAAAAGGGTCTAACTTTGGAAACCCCCTTTATTATCAATGGGAAGAAAGCTGTGGCGCATTTTTCCAATTTGAATAAGTTTTCCTGTAACAAAAACTGGTTTGTCAGTTCAGTTTTTGTCGACAAAACAAAGAGAGTAGTTATACTGTATAGTTATTACTATTTACTCTCGTGAAAAATATTTTCAAAGACATTCTGAAATATTGCATTGATAGAGTTATAAAAAAAAGACCGTGGTAATCTGTTAAATTTCAATGTTTAATCATAAAATTACATTTTGGTACAATTTGTAATATTTCGCCGCAACAAATTGGCGCTGTTAGTTGTCTACGACGAGAAAATGTTGTTATTTTTTCCCCGTATATTTCCACAATATAGGACAATAAATCAAACATTGTTGTTGTTTTTTAATGAAATGAATTTTGTGATGAGAGTAAAAAAAATAGGTTTCCAAGCGCGCACGCCGTATTCGACGCTGACTTTGATTAGAGAGTATGAATTGAATCTTAAAAAAAGTCGCGAAATCACAATAGAATGACTTAATAAGCTAAACAATTAAGTTAATCATGCACTAGAGGAGATAGATCATTTTGTGTTCGACTTCTTTTTTTGAGTGGAAAGCCCTTTGGAATGAGCCCGATGAAAAGACTAAATCAAAAATGCACCACAAATATGTGTTCAAATACAATGTTTTATGCAATACATCGATGTCGAACTACGTTCAGTCAAGTTAAAAAATGAAATAAAAAAAAATGAGTTATCGTTATTTAAGTTGGCTAGCGATTCAGTTTTGGCATAAGAATCAAAGTGAGACTGTTACTAGCAATGAAAAATATGACTAATGTTTTAATAGGCAAGAAAAAAAAACAACGAAAATGAATTGTCGATGGTTCTACTTGGAAGTACTTAATTAAATGAAAAATAATGCAAGAAGATTGTGTTTGCCAGTTTGAGCAGCGGCGACGGAGGGATTGGTAATGTCGTTCAGTCATCACTTGTTTCTTCGTTTCCCGACAAAATATCCTTGGGCTCGTGACTACGGTGCCTGCAATTCGAGGGAGAGAAAGAAAGAAAAATCAAATAATGAGCAATTTTGTTTTGGTTTACATTCAATCAAAAACGATCGACTCAACGATACTTTTCTAATTGCTAGTGAAATTTTGATTGTTCGATATAATTTTGTGTATCAATTGGTTCCTTATTTGGAAATGGCTAATGAAAATTTCAAATTAAAACATCTACGCCATTGATTGCAACAATGCCAAAAAACATAAAAGCGACGATTTAAATATAACAAATACACACACACAATAATCGCAAGTGGCTATTCGAAATGAGAATTTTGAATAATAAACTGAAAATTCGAAATGATGATGCTCGTTAATCGAAACGCGGATTTCTTTTTCAATAAAAAAAAAACAAAACAAAGCATGCAATCAAATATAACAACCATCTTTTGGTAGCCTTCATTGGTCTCTGCACGGCACACTGATTTGAAAAAAAAAGAAGAAAACAAATACAACGAGAGAAAGAGAGAGAGAGAGAAAGTGTCGCAAAAGTTTGTTTTAAATACACACATATTTATAAACCGATGGCCATTAAAGATTGTCTGTTGTCGCAATACTTACTTCCTCGTCGTCGGACACTTTGAGTCCGTCGATATTAATGCTACTGTGCATGTATGCATCGATTTTTTTATTGCTCAAACTGTCACCAGCTATGGCTTTGGTGCTGTCAACGGAATCAATCGATTCGGTTAATTTTGAATTGTTTGGTAATTTATTGTTTTGTGTTTGTGAAATGTCACAGTTTGACGATGGGATCGAGTCACCGCGTTTGTTGCTAAACTTCAGAAAACTACTGAAATTGCGGGCTTTCTTGCCGTTACGCGTCGACGATGACGGTGAATGTGATGAGATTGGCTTGTCGAACTTTTGCTTAACTCGCTCGAAATCCGAATGACGTGACAATGGTATGGCAGCCATCACAATTGACTGTGACTGATGATAAATACCACCACCACCACCACCGCCGCCTCCACCACCGTTCTTATAATCGAATATGCTTTCATCCAACGATGTATGCTTCGCATCGGTATAAATTGCCGAATGCCGATGGCTTTTCTTATTATCGGCCCGCGAGTTTTCATCAAACAATTGTCGCAAATCATTTATGTTCGGTTTGCATTCGAGCGGATAATTCGGCTTTGAGCTTGAATGATGCTTTGGACTTATTGAATTTCTATCATTCACAGCACACCGGTGGCAAAGTGTTCGTATGATGTGTGCATGTGCGTTTAACACGTGATTCAAAATTTATTGTGTATTTTCATTGGATTAAATTATGAGTAATAAGCAGCCAAAAAAGCAGCGTCCGATTAAGTGAAAGTTAATTCGTTTCATTAATTTCATTTTGATTTTGTTTTATGTAACACTTTTTTTCTTGTTTGTATATGTACAAAATGTGCAGCAACAGTTTCGCTCTTACCTCGTTTGTAAATGTTGCATTTGCGCCTGAAGACTGTCTATTTCGTCTTCAGCTCCAGCCAACTCATGTTTCAGTTCTTCGACACGTGCTCGTAACCGTTTCACTTCATTTTCATACTGTTCGGCACGTCGCACCGCGTGACCCAGCTCGGTATTGGTTTCAGCAAGCATTTTCTTGAACTTGTTGTGCGAATGTCGCAATTCGAATATTTCCTACGAAATCGAAATTTTGGATTAAGTAAAATGCCAAAAACACACTTTCTTTGTTCAAATGATCCATTTCGTTGGTTTTTACCTTATTTTTATCCATGATTTCCTGTTGAAAACTACGCATTTCAGCATCATTATTACTTGGAATTGGTCGTCCACGTCGATCAGCTCGATCCTAATCGTCACAATTTTTTCCATTAAAACTCCATTTTTCTATTATCTAAAGCTAAATAATCCGTTCAACTTGCCTGCAAATCTCGAACTTCATTACGCAACTTTTTGTTATCTCGTTCAAGTGCCAGTTTATCGGATTCGATGCGTTCTCGTTTGCCCCATTCAGCTGCATTTTCAGCTTGCAAGCGTTCGAGCTGCATAGACGTCAATATTTTTTTATTAAAACAAATTTCAAATTCCAAAAGAAAAGGTTAAAAAAAAAAATAACAAAATCCTCACCTCAGCTCGAAGTTCACATAGTTTACGTTCCAAATTTTCGCGAGCATTAGCTTCTTCGATTTGTGAATTGGTGAGAATTCTCAGTTCGGCTTTGTGTTGTTCTTGCAACGTGAGTAGTTCACGAACCGCTTCCTGTTTGGCAGACCGAATTTCTTCATATTTCTCCTTGATATCCTCCAGTTCGCTCGTCAATTTTTCAATTGTTTTATACAAATTATTCTTTTCGCTGTGAACGGTCAACATTTCGGTTAACGTTGGCTATTTACATTCCGTGTGTGTTTCTTTTAAATACTTACTCTCGTTCGGTTTGTACACTCTTACGGCTTTCGTCTAGTTTGAGTTGTAACATGGAGATCTGTTGCATCAGACATTCTTCTTCAAAATCATCCTTGGACAATTGTTGGATAAGCCTTCGTTCCTCGGCACTATTTCTTCGATCTTCTATGAAATTGGAACGAATATACATTAAAATTGTACAATTTTGTCACGAAAATTCACCGTTCATACCTTCATTTCTCAATGATTCGATGACATGCTTTGGAACGGCACCTTGTAGAACATACTCTTCGATTTCGGTATCGCGTTTCTCATTGTGATCCTGTGACTTAGAGTTTGTGACTAAACCATCTTCACTGTTTACATTTTTGAGACCATCCGATGAGATGTCTGGCGAACAATTGGAATTGTCACGACCATCTCGTTCGTTCTCTTCGCTATTGCCATTGAATTGGCCCGCGTGCTTCATCATAAGTAAATGCACCTTTTCCATCTCCTTTTTCAATTGGTTTATCTGTAGTTCGAGCTCATTTTTCTCTCGTTTATATGAGTTTGACTCTTTTATAGCGGCTTCAAGACTAGTTCGTAGTTGCTTCGCTTCATCGCGAGCTTTGTTTCGCTCATTTCGTACCTGGAATTGATTCAAATTTTTGTTATTTAGTCGAAGAAATTGAAAAAAAAATAATGAAAAAAGTTGAACAACGAACCTTTGACCATTTTTCACGCCAGTTTGCAGTACAATCAGACCTGAGCACGAAAAAAAAAGTAATTCCAATAAACAATTATTTACAGAACAAAATCGAAACTGGGGCATTCCCTTTAACTTACCACCACTTCATGGTTTTTTCCATTTGAGATGCACGCGCTCTCGCCTCCTCCAACTCCCGCTGTCTTTGTGACTGAATAAAATAACAACAACAAAAGAATGACAACAAAGATTAGTTCATTTCGTGGCACAGACACCATTTAAGAGCATTGCATTTGGTACACGTACATCGCGAGCCTCCCATTCGGTTTCACCGAATCTGGCCGCTGTAATTGGTTCGTTAGCATTATTTTGATTCATCTCTGGCCGTGGTCGCCTCGAATGTACTGGTGGTACAGCTTGCGACATATTATTCTATCGTTAGTGTATAGAAAAACCACACTAATGATTCGCTTTACGAATGTGAGATAACTGGTTTTCAGGATCTCTCTCACCACCGTACATATATCGTTTTTTCTGTCCTCTTATTTACACTGTTCCACCCTCAATTAAAACCATTCAAACCGTACAACTTGAATATTTTCACCAATAACCACTGGAAAATCAGTTCGTTCGAGTTGAATCACAATTGAAAATGTTCAATAAACCGTGGAATAAATCCATGTTCACTCTGATTGTATTTTGGCTTGGTGCTGAAGCGTTCCTTCGTTTTTAATTTTTTTTTTCATCGCGTACATAGTTTTTATTTTGATTGTTTTGTTGTTGCTCACATTTGACAGTTTGAAAATGCAAGCAAAACGGAACTGAGCAACTCGTTCGGGTGCGTTCTGTGCATCACCAGCACATCGATGGAATGACGACAAGCAGCGGCTGTTCATACTTTTTATGTATTTTCCTGGTGTAACCAAAAACCGCTTTTTGATTCGATTTTTGAAAATTTTATCTTCAAAAAATTGTGTTCATTTTAAAATTGCAGTGTTTTCATTTTCAAAAATCTGTACATTCCATTCAAAAAAACAAATGTCAAGCTCAAAATATACGTTAAACATTGGCCACCATTGGAACGCACACGGTTGTTAGTGAAGCGCGTTGTTTGTGTGTGCGTGCGCGCAGCCATGTAAATGTCATGTCGTTGGATTTTGAGTGCGAGAGAGAGGTGACTCGCAACATATTAATGAATTTCCCATTCAGATCAAAAGTGAACAGCAGACTATCGTGACGGGCGTTAGTGTATAACGTAAGAAAATGGCGAGTGTTGACAGCAGAGCAGTGCTTAGTGTTCATAATCGCTAAAAATATATGAAATTTTTTCGGGGTTTTGTGAACAAGAGAGTGTGACCGAGATACAAAAAATAAATGCAAATCAAAAAACGTGAACAGAACATCAAATGCCCCATAGTGTAAATAGAAATTCGACGATGAAAACCCCACAAAAAGAAGAAGTTGAAATAAGAAATAAAATAAAAAAATTTGTCGAAATCAACCATTGAAGAAAGAAAGAAATAATACAAGTTCATACGAAATATATGTGTGTATCTATCTATTCAGTGTAAGTTCCAAAGTGCGAAAATACATTCACCAAAAATAATTGGTTGTCATTACATTGAAATTGTCCATTGAAAGGTTGCAACAAATATGTTAGCGTTACAATTTTTTTTTTATTATTGAGTAAGATTTGTTGATTGTGTTGAGATTGGGCCGACGAAGGGAAAAAAAATGCGCTTCAAAAAAAAAAAATATGGTGAAAATTCAGTGAGAATATTTCCATTCGTCGGAGCCAATAACAACAAAACCGAACGAACGAATGAACAGAAGAAAAAAAAACATATCATCACCAGTCGAACCTCTTTTTTTTTCTTTACTTTATTGTAACGCATTCATACACAGTGGAAATGAAAATAGTAGTGCTTGGTATGGTTTATGGGTTTCGAATGGCTTCTTAGTATGAGCTCACTAAATGAATTCATTTCAATATGATACTTTTTTTTTGCTCCGTTTGTTCGTTATATGTTATTTTCCATGATTTCGCGAGATGATGGCCACGAATCACAAGCTAAAATACTTGAAACATTTCGATTAATTATTCAAAAATCTCTCAGTTGAATGAGTCGTTTTAAATTGACAATCGCACTTTGTGTACATGCTATCAGGCACACAACAACAATAACAACAGTAACAACCGAGTATGTCGATTGGCAGTGGCGGCCGCAAACCAGCCGAATATGTACTGACAGGCGGCGACTCTGCAAATTTAAATTAAATTAAATTACTACAGAGAGAGAACAAAGAGGAAAAAAAACAACACGGCAAAAATATGAGAACAAATAGAAGAGAGAATTAGATAGTGAGAGACAGTGAAACCGTCACAGCAACCGAGAGCAAATAAAAAACAAAGTATTATAAGAGCAGTTGAGCGAACAGAAACATAAAATGCACAGAAATTACGACGTCATACGATTAAAAATGGCGTTTCATGTTATTCGTTCATTCGTTTCAGTTTCGAATCTCATTTATATTTTTGAAGCATTTCAAGAGAGCCTGTCTTCGCTTGTTTTCAATTCGAACGAACCAAATGTGAGCGCCCCTGATTGGCGAATTATACAGAATATGAGCGCGCTGCGAAATCAAAATCGAAACAAACACATTTGTAGAGAAAAAAAACATATAAACGAATGCCAGCGAGCAGTGAGTAAAATGCGAAAGAAGAAGAAAAAAAACATCATCAGAGTAGAGTATACACATCGTGGCTGGATCATGTTCTCTTTCTATGTGTCACATTGCGTTGTAGTGCTGCGTTGTTGTTGTTTTTTTTTGCGCCGGACGAGTAAAAGAAAGTCGAACGAGTCACAGAAAGGAAATATATAGCATCGAGTCTATCTCTCTCTGTCTGTCTTTCTCTCGAACGCACAGGCCAATTATCGATTGTAGTAAAATAAACAAACCGATGCAGTTACGATATTTATTCACATTTCGCTCGAAATATGCAGACCCAATCATTATTTATGGATGTGAATGGCCGAAGACCTCTTTGCTAGAAATTTGCGTCATTCATATTTCTCCATTATTTATTTAGTTTGATTGCTGCTCTTTTCTCTCTCTCTCTCTCTCTCTCTCTTTCTCTCTCTCTCGCTCCATTTCACTCTTTTTCTCTTGTTCAGCCGATAAAAGATTCATTCGACTTTTATTTATGCTACAAAATATGCGTTTCCGTGCGTTGCAATCATTATGGTGGTTTAGTGAAGCTCTCAGCATTTTGAATGTGGCGCGTGTATATATGTAATGTTTATGTTCTCTCTCATTCGCTGGCTATGTCATTTTTATTTTGTTTCGGGAAATGCGACGCCGATGTGTCATGATTCACCAGCCAATCGATAACTAACGCTGGAAAATACAGAGTGAGCTAAAGAGAGCACGCACACGCATAATAAAGCATTTTTCGTTCCTCAAACTTTCCAGAAACCGGTGAGAACCTTTCATTCGAAATTCTAATTATAAAACGGTCCGGTTTGGTTCGTTTTTCTTTGGCATTTCATGTGGCATTCATAATTGGTATGGACAACCGGAGAAAACAAAGCCAACGGCTGCACAAAAGCCAACCTAAAATAAAGAGTGACCGCTGCTTTTTTTTATATTCTTCCTTATTTCACCACACGCTTCGTCATTTCTGTAAGTCGTTAAAAAAAACACACGCACAGAAAACGAACCATTTTTGTTGGTTGATGGACTGAAAAAAGTTGGGCCCAGCTCATTCACAGCAACTGAACCACCACACACAAATCGGTTTTCTTTGATATTACATTTCGAGCTGTGTGTAATATATTTTTCGTTTCTTTTGTTGTGATTATTCAGTTCATTTTGTTTCTCCTTGGATGCATTTTTTATCTCTCCTTCTCTCGCTAGAGAATTGTCAATGCTATTCCCAACTGTTGATTATACAGCTTCACCATACGCAAAATAATGCTCGAGCAATTGCATGTTTCATTTTCTTCTCGGTTTTTGTGTGTGCTGCTGCTGTTGAAGGAGCATTTCATTTGCCATACACATTGTTTCATTCTTTTGTTGCGGTTTTTATTAAATGAAACCATAGCCATACAGCGCTATAGCTCAGTGTAAGAAGAAACAACTTGTCGTCGCAGAACAATTCCCATTACCAATGACAAAAACAAACGGAAAATACAAACTAAAAACGGCCGTAGAAGAATAAAAATTGTTGAAGATTAAATTTTTGTTAAAAGAAGAAACAGTTTAAATACCAAACGGATTTCTAGCGCACACAGCCATACAATACCGAGCAGACAGCCTGCATTTATGTGATGCATTATGAATGCATTTTCCATATATTTATGTCTTTATTACGCTTGTTTGCTCTTCATTGGTGTGTGTGTGTGCTTTGCACCAAGTCGTACAAAAATAAAACTCACCAAATATAAAATGCATTTTTATCTCGTTTATATGCCACTGATGCTGCTCTATTACTTCTTTTCGGTTTCATGTCGTTTAGCTCTGAAATCCCCAGAAAATGAGAATCCATATTTCAAATGCAAGAAGATAGAAAGAGAATAGTCGGAAAATAAAAAGAGTTCAGCACTAATTTCGCTTTAAATTAAATTCGCTTCAGCATTTTGCTCTTTAAGCCGCATTTACTTGCGATACAGGTTCGTGCAGGTTTTTTTTCTCTTCTGTTATGCTGCTGCTATTGTTGTTGTTGATTCGTTTGTTTGTTTGCTACATCAATTGTTGGTATATCTATTTTGAAACTTTTCGCAAACGCATCGAGTTACGAGAGAGAATGTACGAAATTCTATCAATAGCAAGATAGCCCAACCTTTTTTCTATCATCATTTACTGATTAATCCAATGTATGCCTGACTTTGATTCATTTCGGCTTGGATCGCATGGCAATTGAGTTTTCTCTCTATCTCTCTCTCTCTGTGTTGTTATTTGTACTTTCTTTTTAATTTGTTCCACATCGCATCGTGATGTGTTTCTTTTCGATTGATGAGCAAAGCAAAAGGCAAAATCTCCATTACATTGTGATGACATGATACCATATTTATGAAAAATTAAATATGAGCGGAAACGAAAAAGAGATATACAAACAAACAAATCATCTCGGCAAAGCCAAAGGAAGTCAGGATAAGAGCTATCAAAGCAGACGCAGTTGGGCTAAACGAAAGATTTTACATGGCACACAGACATACACACACACACCGAGCCCATAAGCAAGAGAGATAGGATAAATGAGAACTACGATAAAAATACGTATACATAAAATATCTCAAATTATTGGTTGCTCGGTTACCACCATGTAAAACGGATTCTGTGTTGCTGCCTTGTAACATAATTGAAACCGGTGATTGTGCTCGGGATATTGGCTGACTGTGTGTGACTGTATGTGTCGGTGTGCGAGTATACGTGTACGTGCTACTGCTGCTGTTCGCTGCTTGGGCACATGCACCATACATAAAAATATGCTCTCACTGTGTAGTGTGTATCCATGTAGCATTAGCCCGAACGCTAGAAACCATATCGGTATATGGATGATTTGTTATTGTTAGTGCGCCAAAGTCATGCGTTCGCGTCAGTCAAATTCGACAACATATTATTGGAAAAATTTATTGACGAAAAAAAAAATCAAATAGAAAGTACGGCGATAAATTCAGAATAAGTCTATTCGCCAATGGCAATCTTTTGTCCAGTCATTGATCAAAATTGAACAATTTGTTGAAAAGAGTGAAAATTAACACGAGCAAATCATAGAAAAAATCCCTCGAAAACAGAACTATGGTCAAAAACGGAACTACGTTGTTTTACAAATGATTTCGGTGTAGTGAATTTTCGGCTATCAATTCTTGTGCACAAAAAAAAAAAAGAATATTAATTTCAAGATCTAAAGTCCAAAATGGTTGTGAGTGGAAATGTGAGCGGTATTCTGTGATGATGCGTATGTGCGGAAAACTTGTTCGTTAACCGTTTTGGTGCTGATAAAGAGAGATAAGGTATTATCGTTACCATCGCTGTATGTTGTACTGGTTTGGCTGGTGGATTTCAGCTTTTATGATGGTTGTGCAAGCGATTTAGTGTCTAAATGAACAAACAACAAGAAACGATTATCGCTCATTTCGACTTTCCATTTCGGCTGTGTACCGCCGAACACTGTGTGTTTTGGGAGTTGGAACACGCGCTAGCGCGCACCACAAAAGCAAAAACCACAAAATGAGAGATATGAATTGTGTACACTGCTATAGCAGAAAACAACAACAATAACAAAAAATAAAACAAATAAAAATTGTAAAAAAAATGGTTGCCAGCACACAAAGTTTGTTTCTTGTCAACGCAATCGTTATCAATTGTAACCAAATGTTTTTGAAAGAAATGTTTCTTCTTCTTCTTCTTCGGAGCGACAAAACAGTGTTAATAATTGGTCGATCCGAAATTGATGAAGAATGGCATTATTCAATCCAAACGAAATGTACATGCGTTTGATGGCAGATTCCATCATACTTTCCTCGCAACATTGAAGTGTTTGCCAATTGTATATCATTTTCCTTCCATCAACTACTCAATAAATTGATAAACGGAGACAAACTACAGACGAAAAAATTGAAAAACTTCAATTTCACTTACCGAAGTAGCGAACTTTGAAGAAGAATATGAAAAAAACGAAGACGAAGAAGAAAAAATTGAGTTCAAATGTGTATATGGCATGATCTGGATGTGCACAAAGCCAAGCACCAGCTTGCTTCTCTAAGTGCAGCACCATAAATTTGCGCCAATTTGCACAACAATGTGAACTTTGATTATGGAATCTGAAACCCGGTGATTTGTTTAGCACACTTTTCCATTTCCTTCGTAATTTGTTATTCAAATGCCGTCGACTACACAATCTTCTTCGTTGACTCTTTTTTCTTCATATCTGCCTCTCTCACTATCGTTCTCTGCCCGGCTCCGGAATATATGTACATGATATGCGTGTGTCTGCCGCTGTTGCTAGTTCGCAAACTTGTTCGTTGATGCACCATTCTTGAGGCTCTTTTTTCCTCTTCGCTTGTCTTTGACCCGGCTGAAATGCTATGTGTAGTTCGGTGAAAATGATGAATTGAATATCACGTTCATATGTTTTCGTTTTGGCGAATTGACTTCAGCGCTCGTCGCAAGTCATGAACGTTCGACAACAAGGAATTATTCAACAAAACCCATTTCCAGGGCTGCTGATCTCTTTCAATATTCCATTTTTTTCTCTCTTTGCGCTCAACATTCAGTGCAAAATCCTTCACGCCTCTTTGAAACGTCTATTCATGACAACCGATTTTTTCTCTCTCTCTCTCTCTCTCTCTCTCTCTCTCTCTCTCTCTCTCTCTCT